ATCATGCTGAAGTTTAGCCTTGGGAATGCCCTTGGTGAGAAAATCAGCTAATTGTCCTTCAGAGGTGATGAAAGGTAGACACACTTCTCCAGAAGCCACTCTTTCTCGAATGAAGTGTTTGTCAACTTCAATATGCTTAGTTCTGTCATGTTGCACTGGGTTGTGAGCAATGTTGATGGCGGCTTGATTATCACAGTATAACATCATTGTCTTATCATGCTCAATACCCAGTTCCTTCATCAATGATCTAAGCCACAATAGTTCAAAAACTCCATGAGCCATGGCTCTGTATTCTGCTTCGGCTAAAGATCGAGCAACAACTAATTGTTTCTTGCTTCTCCAAGAGACAATATTACCTGCCACCAAGCTACAGTACCCAGAGGTAGATCTTCTATCATCAATGCTTTCGGCTTAGTCAGCATCTGTGTAGGCTTCAAGTTTCATATGGCCATGCTTAGCAAATAGAATTCCCTTTCTAGGGGAGCCCTTAAAATAACATAGAATCCACTCTGCTATTGCCATGTGAGTATCCTTGGGAGCATGCATGAACTGACTGATGCAATTGACAACATATGCAATGTCTGGCCGAGTTATGCATAGATAAAGAAGTTTTCCAAGTAGTCTCTAGAAGATTCCCTTATCTTCTAACAATATTCCATCGGAAGCAGAGAGTTTATGGCTCATATCGATATGGGTAGCAACTGGTCTAGCACCCATCTTCCCTATTTCAAAGAGCAAATCAAGAACATACTTTCTCTGAGAGATAAGGATCCCATCCTTGGATCTAGCAACTTCTATGCCAAGGAAGTATCTCAATTCCCTCAGATTTTTGATCTCAAACTCTGTATGAAGGAAAGATTTGAAATCATTAATCCCTGAGACATCATTACCAGTCACAACAATATCATCAACATACACAATCAGGTAAACGACCAAGGATCCTCTCCTCTTCACAAAGAGGGTATGGTTAGATTGTGTCTGTACATAGCCAAAGCTAACAAGGGCAGCCCTAAACCTTTCAAACCATGCTTTAGGGGACTGTTTGAGTCCATAAGGAGATTTCTTCAGCCTGTAGACCTTTCCTTTCATATTTGTTTCATACATCCCTAGAGGAAGAGACATATAGACATCCTCATGTAACTCTCCATTCAAAAATGCATTCTTTACATCCAGTTGATAAAGTGGTCAGTCTGAGTGTACAACCAAAAATAACAGAACTCTCACAGAAGTCATCTTGGCAATAGGGGCAAAGGTCTCCAGATAATCAGTCCCATATGTCTGTGTATAGCCTTTTGCAACCAGCCTAGCCTTGTACCTTTCAATGATGCCATCAACATGATATTTGATAGTAAAAACCCACTTACAGCCTAGCCTTGTGCCTTGAGACAGTGAGACACTATCCTTGGATAAAATATTTTGCTTTGTAATGTTGTACTCTGGGTTTAGCCCTGTCAAGAACTCA